AAGTTAAAAAGCGGCTTTGAAGCTTTTTCTCCTTTCTGCGTGTTTTGTACATATGAGGATACTTTTACATTTCCTTTAAAACGCTTCAATAACGCTTAAATTAATTGCTATTTTACCGCATGGAAATAAGTAGGCCCACATCGAAATGACACTTTTATGTGTACTTTTGTAAAAGCTATGCATCAAGTATACATAAGGTTTAGCAGATTGAGACGGCCACACTTTCAAGGTACTTTTGGCATACTTTTTGCATATTTTTTGTACTTAAAGTATACTTTTTGGAAACTTTGGTCAGTCACATACTTTGGTACTTACTTCCATGCTGCATTATTTTCGTTCTTATGCGTTTTTTTCTCGCGTTTCGTTACGTTGCGACGCCCTGATCGGTTGGGCTGGTGCTGGTGCGAAAGACCTTTCCCTACAGTGACGCTCTCGTGAATGTTCTCGACCCACGCGGCCGGCTCGCGGCACGACTGGCGCGAGGTGTCCTGGTCCTGAAGCGCGCCGCCAGCGCGCCTGTCACCCGGCGAGTAGGCAAGCGCTGCGCGGCCCTGCCCGCCGCTTGCCTACCCTCCCGGGGCGCTGGGGCCCTCGAGCGGGCCCCGCTGCCTCCACCCCTCTCCGCGCCAGGACGTCACGCCACGTCATTGTCTTCGTAGCTGTCGTAGCGGACCGCGAAAAAAATAAAATAACACGGTCGTGATGTAATGGATCATGACATGCCGGAGTTAATGCGTAAAGACCTGGCGTTCATAATGCAATTCCCCGAGATGCTCAGAGCGCCCCCCTCCCCATTCCCCTCAGCAGAGCGCCGCGTTATTATTATTTCTCACCCCGGGTGTTGCCTTTCACTCAGACCCGCCAGCGTGCGCGCCGGCGGGGAGGAGAATAACAGCAAAACACAAGAAGAGGAGCACTCAGGCCCGGCCGCACGCCCCGCCACGCCCCGCCAAACCCATCGGCTCAACTGGGAATGACTTTGCGGTGGCAGCCAGCCCCACCGCGTGGAGCTCCAGCCGACAGCCCCGCGCCCGCGCCCCACACTTTCCGTTGTGCTGCATCGCTGCTGCCCAAGGGCGCGGCGTGCGCCGCTCAGACCGCCGGGGTCGACTCGTGTGCGTTTGCTATTCATGTTTTGAGCCGACGCGCGCGACAGGCGACCTTCTGGTGGGGGTGGCGCGGCGGTGGGCAGGGAGTAATTGGGTCGACCTTTCCGCGGGGGTAGCGGTGGTGGAAGGGGGGCCGCCCCCAGCCCGTCCGGTCCGGCGGCCGGTCGGTCGGTCGGCAGGCAGGCTCGTGTTCTCCTTGATGACCCCGCTCCCCTTCCCGCGCGCCCCGCGCGGCACCTTCCGCCGGAGGATGGGAAGCGTCACCCGCGGCGTGGGGCCGCTAGCTGAAGCCGCTGGATCCGCTGGAGCCGGGCGCGTACCAATCGCAGCGTGCGCCTCCGGGGAGTGGTTCAGCTGGAGACAAAGTCGATAAACTTTGCCCGCATTGGAACTGGAAGGGTACGTGTCGCGATTCCCCGCCTTCCTGCTCGCGCTTCTGCCCTGTCTTCCTCGCGCAACGAAAACGGTTTGTCTGATTCGTTCTTCCGCGCCTGTTGGTTACCCCTCCCCGTGCAGCGTCTTACACAACGCACGAACTGAACACGTTTCAGCTGACGTCACCAAAAGGGCGCACCCTGCTCGGTCCACCAGTTTTTTGCTCTCGTTATGTACTTCCAAGTTCTCATAATCTTTCGGCTTTATAATTTGTGGTTCCTGACGGGGAGTTGGAA